TCACTAATGCTCTTGTGGCTGAATGGAAGCAAGTCCCTGCAGCAATGTTCCAACATCTAGTGGAAAGCCTTCCCAGAAGAGTGGAGGATGTTATAGCAGCAAATAGGGGACCAACTCCATATTAATGCCCATGATTTTGGAATGAGATTTTCGAAGAGCAGGTGTCCACATACTTTTGGTCATGTAGTGTATGTATCTGTGTGTATATCTATCTATAAATATTTCCCGTAAAAACCCAGACCCAGTTTTCCTTGCATAAAAAAAATCTGTGATAGGACTGCTCAAAGAGACCCCAAAATAAAATCCCCAGGATATTTTTTGAAAGTTTAAGCTCATTTACTGCATTTCTATACAATTAAAATACTTACCCAAATGTTATTTTTTTAAACAGCAAAAACAAGCAAAAAATTACCTAAGCCATTTTCACCTTGGCTGCTGTAGGTTTATTCACCTCAGTCGATCTACAAACACATATCTTATTAGCTATACAATTCTAATGTTATACCCCTAAAAGGGGGGGAAATATGAGAAATGATTCACACTGACACGTAGCATCAGCGACTTTTAAGTCAGTTCTAATGATGAATTGCATAAAATCTATTATCTCAAATGTTCAATAGAGTTCACATTTGTATATCTAGGAATTCCTAATCAACTTCCGCAGAAACAGACAATTGCCCACACGTATTGTATTTTCACATGAATTATTAGAATATTACTTACGATCCTGTATTGTCTTATCCAGAGCGATTTGAGGCGTCCGTATGCTTCCAAGCCGAAACAGTTCTGTAAAATGTAGGCACTCACTAACTGTAAATCGCTCTGGATAAGAGCGTCTGCTAAATGACTAAAATGTAGAGTTTGTGCATATATTATGACGACATTTTGTGACGGTTTTGGACTTCTATGAGAGTTTTTTCAGCTGTTCGGGCAAACTACATTTTTTTCTGGAGGCAAGCAGAAGTTCAGAGCCGAAGTCTACGCCCCTTCGTCGGTGATTGGTCAACAGTAGGGATTCTTCAGGAAAGTCTCTGTTGTCATTCAACGAGAGACGACTCGTTTTCATGCACAAGCACACCTTTTCATTGAAAAATACTATACCAAACAGCTTTGTTAGATGTGAAATTGCGCGACTAAGATCTCTTCGGCAAAAACGTCCAAATTAATAGAAAATGTATTGAGTTATCTTAGATTAATTCCGACTATTTTGAGAAAGTGTATCCTGGCTACGGCGTCTCAAAATGGACAAACAGTACTATTGCCGCTTTTTTCTCGTTTTTAAAGCGAATGTCTTTTAAGGGAGTATGTGAGCACACTGGTTCGGCTAGGCGCTAGCCGAATTGAAGCATGCTGGCGCCTTTACAGGAGCAATTAAGAATTAAGTGCCTTGCTCAAGGGCACATTGACAGATTTTTCACCTAGTCGGCTCGGTGATTCGAACCTTTCGGTTACTGGCCCAACGCTCTTAACCGCAAGACTACTGCTGCTGTATCAGTGATGTAGTGGTTAAACAAAGTGGGTAATGGGCAGTGTTGCCATGTTCGCGGTTTTCCAACTTATTGGGCAACTTTGAAAACGATGTCGCGGGTCAAAATGTATTGGTTGCGGGTTTTTGGCCTATTTCTAAGTTGCACCGCGGCCGCCATTGCATTTCTCTTTACAAATATATATTTCACTGTTACCAGCCTCTGGCAGTGAAGCAGGCTGTTGCTGGGTGAGTCAGTGGTCTGGAGGGGTGTGTGTTGAGAGAGCGCTACAGCTATTGGCTGTGACGTGGGTGGGAGCAGCACGTGACAACTTTTTAGCGGTTATAGGTAGGATTTTTAGATTGTCATTAAGGAGTCACCTATTTCCAACACTTTTTCAGATAATATATGTCATCATAAAATCCCCAGCGCTTCAAGCCAAGCCTCTATTGATAGGCATTCCGAGTCTTTTCGGTGAGCCGGCATATTTGGCTCAGTTCACGTAAAATAAACGCTCTTTGTTCAAAATGCTTAACAATCGACATAGAACCATGAACAAAAATGTTAATCCCCAATGTAAAGCCCAAAGGGTAAGCTACCACAATGTCAGATTGTGAAATGCGCGTTCATTCTTTAGATAATTATTTTGTAACTTATCTGCAGAAAAACGTTGTTTTGAGCTCAAAAAGCAGTAGGCTAGTAGCAGTATGCAATTCAATGCGATTCGGTTCCCGACGTTCACCAAAAAGATACGTTTAAAAACAGCCGTTCGTTCTCTCGCTTTAGAATAAGGCTGTAACATAACAAAATGTGGAAAAACTCAAAGGGTCTGAATACTTTCCGAATGCACTGCATATGTATCATTGTTAAAGGGATATACAGTATATACAGTGCATTCGGAAAGTGTTCAGACCTTGACTTTGCCATATTTTGTTACATTAGCCTTATTCTACATTTGATTAAATTGTTTTTTCCCCCTCATCAATCTACACACAATACCCCATAATGACAAAGAAAAAACAGGTTTTTAGAAACTTTTGCAAATGTGCTTGGCGCACCTGTATTTGGGGAGTTTCTCCCATTCTTCTCTGCAGATCCTTTCAAGCTCTTTCAGAGACCTGTCCCGAAGCCACTCCTGCGTTGTCTTGGCTGTGTGCTTAGGGTCGTTGCCCCAGTCTGAGGTCCTATGCACTCTGGAGCAGGTTTTCATCAACGATCTCGCTGTACTTTGCTCCGTTAATCTTTCCCTTGATCCTGACTAGTCTCCCAGTCCCTGCCGCTGAAAAACATCCCCACAGCATGATGCTGCCACCACCATAGGGATGGTGCCAGGTTTCCTCCAGACGTGACACTTGGCATTCAGGCCAAAGAGTTCAATCTTGGTTTCATCAGACCAGAGAATCTTGTTTCTCGTGGTCTGAGAGTCTTTAGGTGACTTTGGCAAACTCCAAGCTGTCATGTGCCTTTTACTGAGGAGTGGCTTCCGTCTGGCCACTCTACCATAAAGGCCTGATTGATGGGAGTGCTGCAGAGATGGTTGTCCTTCTGGAAGGTTCTCCCATCTCCACAGAGGAACTCTGGAGCTCTGTCAGAGTGACCATCAGTTTCTTGGTCACCTCCCTAACCAAGTCCCTTCTCTCCCGATTGCTCAGTTTGGCCAGGCAGCCAGCTCTAGGAAGAGTCTTGGTGGTTCCAAACTTCTTCCATTTAAGAATGATAGAGGCCACTGTGTTCTCTGGGACCTTCAATGCTGCAGACATTTTTTGGTACCCTTCCCCAGACCTGTGCCTCGACACAATCCTGTCTCAGTGCTCTACTGACAATTCCTTCGACCTCATGGCTTGGTTTTTGCTCTGACATGCACTGTGGAGTCCACTGTGGGAACTTATGTAGACAGATGTGTGCCTTTCCAAATCATGTCCAATCAATTGAATTTAACACAGGTGGACTACAATGAAGTTATTTTCAATAAATATGCTAAAATTTCTAAAAACCTGTTTTCGCTTTGTCATTATGGGGTATTGTGTGTTGATTGATGAGATTATATATATTTTTTAATACATTTTAGAATAAGGCTGTAATCTAACAAAATGTGGAAAAAGGGAAGGGGTCTGAATACTTTCCGAATGCACTGTATACACATTTGTATCAGATACTATAGCTGGAGGATTTTCATATTTATTTACTTGCACAGTTTGGAAAGAGAACCGTTGACAGATAGTCTTGGAACAAGATCATGTCTTTATTTGATACATTTCCAACATAGGTATTTTTCTTGACTAAGATTACATGTCACAGTAATAAAGTCAAAGGAATGATATAATTACAGTTTCTGTTTTTATAATTTGCAATATGCAGTATGAAAATGTATGCACTCACTAACTGCAAGTCGCTCTGGATAAGAGTGTCTGCTAAATGACTAAAATGTAAAAATGTAATGCTTAACTCTTCTCTCATATGGTTTTATATTTTATTGAAATGTGTTACACTTAAATGTTTCATAATGATGTGTGCAACATTAGCAATGTGTAGTTTACATAGTCCTATTTACACTGAGTAGATGCCCCTCAGTCTGTTATCACTGTGCTCGGTAAGGTTGGAGGTTCTCCTTTAGTTGGCAGAGGGACACAGAGGAGCCCACTCCAAAGCCTGCATACAGGGGCTCAGAGAACTGGGCCTTGAATTTGTGGATCAGCTCCATGGCCTCTGACACAGAGTAGAAGGCCACCGTGTTGGCAGTGTAGTCCAGGTACACTCCAATCCGTGTGGCCCGCGGGGCCTCTGGCAGGTCCTTGTCCATCTTGTTGTGCCATGCGGAGTAGCCCGAGTCAGAGCAGAGCAGGCTCCAGGATTTGTCGTTGTAGCCCAGCAGACTGTGAGAGTTCTTACTCTTGCGGCTAATGCTCTTGTAGGCCACTCCGATAGAGAACTCCCCACTCCACTCTGCTTCCCAGTAGTACCTGAACCCACCCAGTGACTCCCTGCATAGAACCTGGGAGAAGCCATTGAATCGCTCGGGGTGGTCCGGGTAAAACTGGACTGTCTTCTTCCGCATCACTTTGTGGTTCCCCTCAAACAGAACCAGCTCTTTGTAGGCTGTGTTGGGGTCAAAATTGAGCGAACAGGAATCTGAGAGAAAAATAAATAATATTTATTGGCATTATCAGAAAATTATATGATTGAGTTGGTATAAAGAACAGACAAGGACAGACCACTCACATCTCAAGAAGTCTGCTCTAGTTTTGGGTTCCTGAGAATCTGCCCTGGAGGGTGCTGTATTAGTGTCAGAACCAAATATGGATTGTATCATCAGAGATATTCAGATAAAAAAATTATATTTTTTCACAGATAATAAACCAATGTAAACTTCATAAATATATACCTTTGAATCGTTTGTCTCCACCTCTTGGTGAAAGTATGTACACAGGGGTATCACTTACTGTAAATGTAAAATTACAGTTGGTTATCACAATGTAATGCTATACTCTTGCTGTACAAAGGCTGTGTTGTAGGCATCTTAGTCGCATTAATATACTAACCTAGCTTGGAGATTTTGCTCAGCTCCTTCTTACAAATGTCATCTAGATGTTCCTTCATGTCGGTGGCAGTCTTAGTGACCTCTCCGAAGGAGAACTGGGGGTTGATCAGGACTTTGGGCACCATGGGCTCAGGAGGAACACACAGCGTGGGGAAATTCTACATAGTGCCGAAGTAAGATATGAAATACTGTTTCAGTGAGTAATTTTGAAGTTAAATGGACACAAGGAGAATAACATATTTTAATTTAATAGTCATACTTTTCCTTTTAATGCCAATGCTAGATTCATCATCTTTTCTACCGGCCTATTGTCAGTACTGATCCTTGTTCCTACAGCCCAGTGTCCCTCCTCCCTCTAGTCCAGTACCTGTAGGAAGTGGATGTTGTCCTCTGTGTCCAGGATCTGGCGCAGCTCGACGTCTTTGCGCTGCAGCTCCAGGATCTCCTGCTCCAGCCGCTCCACGTATCCCTCAGCCTGTGACATGGCCACCTGCATGTTGGCCTTAGTCAGCTGTCTCACCTCAGCGTGCCAGCGCTCCACCGCCTGCAGCATCTCACTGAAGATCGTATCACTGTCCGACATCACCCGCTGGGCATTGCTCTGAGGTTAGGGAAGGGAGATACTGCATATTATACAAATATCATTGTGGTATTATATATATAATTAAAAACAAAGCATTGCAAACTCACGTTGTTTGAATTCATATACTGTATCATAGTAATGCTTTTGTGCCTCTATGACAAAAGTTTATGGTCAAACAAATGTGCCATTAATGATACTACGGTGCTAAATTGAAGGGATGTAGTCTCATAAAAAGTACAATAAATTGACTTAGGAGATGGAAATGGACCTAACCTTGAGAACGTCAACATTGTGTCTCAACTCCTGCAGTTCCTTCATCCGCTCCTGAATGATGTGCTGGACCTCAGACTGGGTCAACACCAGGTTTTTCTGTTAAAGGAGAAGAAGAGGAGGAAGAGGAACCATAAGACCCTTTTGTCTTTAGAAGTTTTAAATGAGTTTCAGCCGTAGCATTGCAGTTGTCATGTCCTGGTAGAGCTGTTAGTGAGGGTAGATTGTTCCAGTGTGTAAGAGTAGTCTTGCCTGTTTCTCAGCGCGCTCCTCCTCAGCAGAGATGATGTTGTGGCTGCGGTGCTCCCTGACGGTACACAGCACACAGATACACATCTGGTCTGAGCGACAGAACAGCTCCAGGCCCTTCTGGTGCTGTGGACAGATCTTCCTGTCCAGGTGACCCATCTCATCCACCAGCTTGTGCCTCTTGAAGGTGGCCGACTCGTAGTGAGGCTTGACGTGTGTCTCGCAGTAGTAGGCCAGGCACATCAGGCAGGACTTGACAGCCTTGCTGCGGCGGCCTACACAGAAGTCACACAGTGAATCCCTCTGGAGGTAGGGGAAGGGCTGCTGCTCGGGCTCCTGGGTCACGTTGGGCACATTGCGCCTCAGCACGGGGCGAGGGCTGAAAGTGGCCCGGCACTGGGGACAGCTGAACACCCCCAGGTGGTCGTACTGGTCCCAGTAGATCTTGATGCACTCCAGACAGTAGGTGTCTCCACAGGAGATGGTGACGGGGTCTCGCAGCACGTCTGCACACAGAAGACAGGTGTAGCCATCTGGAGGCAGGGGGAAGTTAGACTCAGCCATGGTCCTGCTGGGTCAGACTGTCTGAGACACAGGGAAATAATCTGTTAGTAAAAAAGTACTGACTGTGATCACAGAATGACTCTCCACTGACCTGTGTTTAAAGAGCCAGAGCCCAGTCCCCTTCCATTGGTATTTAAAGGTGAGGCTGTGTTTTAGTGTAAACAGAGAAGACATGAAAAGGCAAGTAGATTTTTTGTTGACACAACAGCAGTGAGAGTTTCATGATGGCTGATTACGTCAAAACAGTTTGTCCTGCTTCTTCTCTGTATAAGATATATAGGACAGTGGTTCTCAAACCTCTCCTCTGAGCACCCAGACGTTTCCCAATTTTGTTATAGCCCTGAACTAACTCACCTGATTCACATAGTCAAGGGCTTGATGATTAGTTGACAATTTGAATCAGGTGAGCTAGCTGTGGAATAGTTAAAATACATGGAAGGGCTGGGGGTCGCCGAGGAGAGGTTTGAGAACCCCAAATCTAGGACACAGCACCAGCATGTTTATACGCACACAACACAGTTACAGTAAACATATCCTAAAGGACAAGGTCAAATCCCTGCCTGTCCCATCTGGGTAAACATGCCCTCTGAATCACACAGTTTAATAATCTATGTGTGTGGCTATCTTGTAAACAGAACATTATTCTAGATTATTTCCACTCTCTAGAACAGAACATTATTCACATGATATTAGTGGTGCCAGTACCAGATTAGCCACCAGAGGGTGGGGTTTCATCCAAAATCCTTTCTCATTAAACGGATGGGTTTCACTGTTCAATTGTAATGGCCATTTGTTAAAGATCTGTCAACCATGGGGTGAGGGTTATGAATGAGTGAGTGTTCAAAAAAACGTAATATGCTTCATATAATGGACATAGAGGGAAAGGCAGTGAATAGAAACAAATAAACAGAATTGCTGCATATGGATTTGTGTATCATAGTTCAAATATTAGATGTTTACTGTTCATGTATAATGCTGTCCTCATTTTTAGGCTGTTCTTCATGTTTGTCAAAACAAAGGCCCTCTGTTGCTCAGGACAGACAGACAGCGAACAGACAGAGGGCAGGGCGTGACTGCACCAGTTGTGAGCCAAATCAGAAAGGATGGAGAGGGGAGGGGAGGGGAGGGGAGGGGAGGGGAGGGGAGGGGGAAGGAGCCCAGGAGGGGGAGAAAGGGGTAGGGTTGAGAGAATGCGGGAGTGAACGAGCGAACGCATGCGCCCAAGAGAGACAGGCAGCATATGATGTCATGGCTTGTGCTGGTCTGTGCTCTCTCTCTCTCTTTCCACCCTCTGCTTTTCATCTCCCTCCCTCCCCTCTCTCTCCACCTCTCTCATCATTGTGAAGGTGGTGTGAGTGGCAGGGCTAGGAGGAGGATACACAGCATTAGCACGGGCATCCCCAGCATCATCACTCAGCATCCTTCACCTAACAGGTAAACATGTCTACACTTATAGTTATTCTGTACCTTAGTCAATGTATGGACCAGAAATAAAGAAGTCAAAACACAATGCATGACCGCAAATCATAGAAATGAGCTAAGAAATTTGTTTGACATAATTTAATGTGCTCACTGTCTTCTTTTTGGTTTACTTTTCTTTTGTGTTTACTTTCAGGCATGTTTACTAGACTCCATCGTCATATTTTATTTGAAATGTACATATGTGTAGACACTGAGTGTACAAAACATTAGGAACACCTGCTCTTTCCATGACATCGACTGACCAGGTGAAAGCTATGATCCCTTATTGATGTCACTTGTTATATCCAATTTAATCAGTGTAGATGAAGGGTTAAATAAGGATTTTTAAGCCTAGAGACAATTGAGACATAGATTGTGTGTGTGCCATTCAGAGGGTGAATTGGCAAGACAAAAGATTTAAGTGTCTTTGAACGGGGTATGGTAGTAGGTGCCAGGCACACCGGTTTGAGTGTGTCAAGAACTGCAACGCTGCTGGCTTTTTTATGCTCAACAGTTTCCCGTGTGTATCAAGAATGGTCCACCACCCAATGGACATCCAGCCAACTTGATACAACTGTGGGAAGCATTGGAGTCAACATGGGCCAGCATCCCTGTGGAACGCTTGACACCTTGTAGAGTCCCTGCCCCGACAAATTGAGGCTGTTTTGAGGGCAAAAGGTGGTGCAACTCAATATTAGGAAGGTGTTCCTAATGTTTTGTACACTCAGTCTATATTATCTGTCATGGGGCTATATTGCATAATGTTTGTGTTTAACTTCTGGAATGTTCCTGTACTGGAAAAAATGACTTCAAGATATAATAATATTTCTTTACATTTTGAATATCAAATGCTCCATGGCCCAGTTTTGGCTAAAATAGATTAACTTGTTAGCCATCATAAAACAGAGAAAGTGAGCAGTCTGGTGGTCTCATGGTCTAATTTACTGAAAATAATTGAGATATTTTCCCCAACAACAGGCTGCTCTCCAGGAATGATACATCATGGAACATTATTTAATTAAGTAGCTCTCAGAAAGTAGCTGAAACAACAGTAACAGTTCAAGATGGATGAGTGTGTGTGTGTGTGTGTGGATATGGGTGTGTGTGTTCACCATAAGTAAGCGACCACAGCAGCCATTTCTTGGCGGGGCAGGGAATTAATCCAGCTAATGGATTCATTACGAACATGTGAGTGTGTGTGTGTATAATGCCCAGAAGACATGGTGTGCTGAATGTCTTGCCTTAACGACCAAATCTCTCCCAATACTTCCCAATTTCCTGTCTGTGGACACACAGTGTCCTCCCAATGTTATTTCAACATTATGGCAGAGCACCTGGTCTGTGTGTGAGAAACTACAACCATCTCGACTGTATGCCTTTCTCGTGCATCCCATCCTTAATGTTGTGCCTCTCCCTCTCATCATCCCCCTCTCTCTCCCTCTCTGTATAGGACAGAATGGCAGAGGGATCAGTATCAGTAGCAGAGGTGGAGACGACCTTCAAGAAGTTTGCCATTCATGGGGACACCAAGGCTACTGGGAAGGAGATGAACGGCAAGAACTTTGCCAAACTCTGCAAGGACTGCCGGGTCATCGACGGCAAGAACGTCACCGCTACCGACGTCGACATCGTCTTCACTAAAGTCAAGTGAGAGACTCCGTCCAGTTTCAAACCTCCACGCTGACAGATCCACAGTCATCTTTCTAGTGAGAGGGAATACGTCCAGAGGACCTCAGAATACCATATCAGGAGTAAAAGAAAAACTCAAAAAATGTTTGTGTCTGTGTATTTTAGGGCGAAGACGGCTCGTGTGATCACCTTTGAGCAGTTCAGCCAGGCCCTGTCAGAGTTGGCCCCGAAACGATTTAAAGGGAAGGGCCAGGAGGAGGCACTGCAGCAGCTCTACGGTCTCATCGCAGGGAAGGAGCCTGCCAACGCGGGCGTCACCGTGAGTGTCTACCTGTCAGCAGCACACTGCCTGATAATATTACAGTCTCAGGAAGAGTGTGTGTGTGCTGTGTGTTTGCATATGTGTAAGGGGTGAGTAAGGGGTGAGTAAGGGGTGTGTAAGGGGTGGGTAAGGGGTGTGTAAGGGCTGGGTAAGCTCTTGCTCTGTATCCTCATCTCTCATTCTCTCTTCCTGCTCATAGAAAGTCGCCAAGGCAGCAGCGGTGGACAGACTGACAGACACCACCAAATTCACAGGGGCACACAAGGAGCGTTTTGACGAGACGGGCAAAGGGAAGGGCAAGGCTGGGCGAGAGGAGATCCCAGATGCCAGTGGCTATGTGGGGGCCTACAAGGGCAAGGGCACCTATGAGGATAAGGTCAAGGAAGCATAGGCAGGATAGAGAGATACTCAGACCCTACCATTTACCCCAAATACCCCCTAAATACTGTACTTTCAATTAGAACTGAGAACTGCACAGGTACAGGAGGATGGACTGTTCAGTCACTGGATGCCATAGTATTATATATCCTCAGAGTTACAGGGTGGGGTTGGGGTGATAGGATGGAGAGGGGAGGTGTAACGGCGAGGAGTAAACCTGAATAGAAAAACATGACCTTGATTAGTCGATAAAGACTAATGATTTCTTAGGGACCAAATTGACTTAAATAATCTATATATTCCCCCTTCCTAAACGCTCCAGCCCAACCCCTGGCCCTATCCCTCCCAGCTTCACTAAATGCCTCAGTCAGCACACCTATTACTACAGGAAGTAACTCAGATCCCTACTACTACACACATTGTGCCTTATCATTGGAGGTTGCTACTAACACTAATGCCCTGGTATTATGCACTTCTTTCACCCACATCCTTCTCAACTGATGTCCTTAGCTTCATCTGCTCTGCTATAATAACTGTATATTGGAAATATAGACAGTTGTATGGATGAATTAATAAATACATTATTAGATTATGTAATTGATTAATGAATGGTGAATAAATCAAAAGAGATATAGACTGTATCTGGACATTATAGTGCTTTGCTTGTGCTGTAGATAAGAGACAGATGAGGACACTCCTCCACTCCTCTCCTCTCCTCCTCTGAGAAGATGAGAACATGAATTGTTCTGTTTGGAGGACTGGGAGCCTCCTGACTGCACTGCATTGTCTCCTATTGGGTTGATGTTCCTCCTGATCACTGTACAGTCTAGCTGTGTCTCCCTCTATTCTGAAGAGCTAGAAAATACTATGTAAACATTTAAATAAATCACTGAGCAGCAAATCAGACCATGTGAAATCGTTTTTTCCTCCCTCTCACACACACAACTCTATCAATTGATATCAAAGTCGTAGGGATTAGTACTATTCCATGGGGTACTGCACACCCCAAAACACAGTATTTGTCCCTAATACCTTTACAAAGCCAGTCTGTTTCCTCTGTTATTAAGTCAATACTGGCTATAAAGTGAGGGAGGACCTCCCCAAGACACAGTCACCCCTTGTCTATCTGAGACCTGTGATGAGCTGAAAGATGTGAGGTGAGACACATGGAATGGTGTTTACTGTAGTGGACTGTGGTATGTTGCTATGGGTGGAACATCCCTCTGGGATAGGTGATGAATGATACTCTGCTTGCATGTGACATTCTATGTCATGTTCAGTGGGAGTGTGCTTTGGCGAATGTTCAGATCACTTCAAAATAGTTCAATTCACTACAGTGTTATGAATGCACGTAACAATGCACTTAAAAAATAAATGCCTTGTGTGTGAGGGTGTGTCTGTGTTGTTCTGTCCTCTCTCCCAGGTATCGTGCTGCTGTGTGTGTTTGTGACAGCCCTGGGACAGGTGGGACAGGACCTACTCCTGGAACAGCCCAGGACAACACTGTGAGAGAGAAAGAATACAGAGGAAGTGTCTATATATAAGTGGTTGTAATAGTCTGTTTGAGTCTCAATGAGGATGTGTGTGCATGTGTACAGAGTGTATGACAGACCCAGCATCCTGTGGCTGCTGTGTGATGCAAATGTGTTCCATCTAGTAGATATAAATAAATACAGCTATGTGCTTTTACCACCTGGCTACAGGTCTCTTGACTTTAGATATGACTAGCTCCTATTGTAACTGCTCTAGTAGAAAGTATCAACTATGAATCAATTTAACTACTTCAATAGGCTTCTGACTAACTACTGTGTACTGTAGCTCCTCTAGCTACACTAATTCTCAACTCCTCTTTCCCTGTGTATCTCTGACCATCATTCCACCCCCCTACTGTGTAGATAGCTGTAAAAGCGTTCTCTGTGGCCTTGACGCGCTGGCGTCGGTGTGTGGGTTCGGTGAGGGAGCAGATCACCGCTTCCCCAACACTGGAACCCAGTGAACATCTCAGTGTGGCTGTACACCCACAGTGAAACACACCCACCCACCCACAGTGAAACACACCCACCCATCCACAGTGGAACACATCTACCCACCCACAGTGGAACACATCTACCCACCCACAGTGGAACACATCTACCCACCCACAGTGGAACTGTACACCTACTGTCATGTACTGTATGTACACTGTGGCCATGGTTTCAACTTTCCAACAATACATTTCAGTGATGAGAAATATCTGACTGATTGCTCCATTATTGTCTCTGTTTCACTTACAAGCACTTATAATGGCACAACCATGGCCAGAGTGATTCATTATTATTTGTAAAATGTCCGCATCAACTGTATCAAAAATGTGTGTTTATTTCAGATAGATGTCAATGATTAGCTTTTTATATTGTTCTGGGAATATTATTACATTATGAAATACCACATAATTATACCTAAGATACCCGAAACTAGGCACAATATCCTGAAATTGAACCCCGAGTATGAACCAGAAATAACCTACTTAGACTCAAAAACACTTTCATTGCAGCATTGTGTCCTCCATAACAACACAACTGGCCAGGTAGCAAGCATATTACCTATACAGTATGACACTCCTCCACATTGTTGTCACACCTTGAAAGGAAACACTAATGACGTCTCATGGGTTCACAGAGATCTCTGTGACAATACTCCCTGTGCTGAGCCCATATTTAGGCCTCATTTTCAGGATTTATTTTTCTGCCTCATATTTAGGCCAAAGTTCTCCTTTTGTCTCCCACACAGCCAGGTAATGGGGTGTGATCTCTCAGTTACCTGTGGTCAGTGGCAGAAAGACTGATCAGTGATCAGTAATAAGTGATTGGAAAACCACAGAACTGTGATCGAGGAATATTAACAATATTTACTGCCTTTTTTCAGGCTTAGATTAAGCTGATATCAAGTTATATTGGAGCTTTTGATCTGGTGGTTATAAAATACATCATTAGTTAAATGGATGACTGCACAGCAGGAGGAGAATGGAGGAAGGGATGTTTATAAATGATCAGATTTTTCAACAGTTTAGCTCCAACAGTTAACCACCCAGTTACCTATGTGAGCATGGATGTCTGTATTTTCTTCATAAGTATAATGTACACTCTTCTAAAACGGATTAGTTTAGAAAGCAGACAATTCACCAGAATAGCAGCACTTTGTACAGTGATCATATAACATGGCAGTGTAACTCCTCCATTTCCTCCTCTCTCTCTCTAATCTGGTTATTATGAGGGGTAGTGACTGATGTGATTAGTGAAGAGAATAACAGTTCCTCAGGTCCATCAACTCCTCTCCCTGTCCTGTGTTCTCAGGGAAAGGTAAGGGGATTATAGCACAGAGAGCTTGGTGTCCATAACCTTGGCTTTCCCCCAGAAATCTTTGTTCTAGCGCAGCTTGTGCCAGCTTTCAGAAGATCCCAATCTCAGAACAATGTGCCCCTCAGAACCGTTTAGTTGTGAATTGGATGCGGTGACACTGATTACGACAATGGCGCATGAGATAGGATAAGAAGTCAATAGATAGATTACCTGCCCAACGCATTACTCACACACCATGACACCTTCACTGTCAGGTTCACTACTTATGTCACCACACGAATGAACCCTGGGAATGATTGAGTATGACAGGAAAGGGGGAAGGACAATCCCCTAAACTAGGCCCCCCTTGATCAGGCATTATCAGTGTCCTATTGAAACCCAAGAGCACTGGGACAGAGACACAACCAGCAGGAACCCCCTCACAGATCATAATCAACAACCTCACTGATGCTATCAGTCCACCTTACACCAGTGACCTAATAATAATAATACACACAGACAGGGACAGTAGCTGTACACATTACACACTGCCTGATAATCTAGGTGGACCCTGCAGGTTCCTGCCTTCACACCTAGCTTGGGTGTCCTGTCCAGGGACCTGGGATTGGAAGTTTGTGTGGAAGGGGATTTGGGGGATTGTGTTGGCAGTGACCCCACCCCACCCATCCACAGAGGGGAGTCCACCTGCAATAAAACTCACCTGAGAGAAGCTCTCTGCCAGTTCTGACCTGCCTGGTACATCCTGTCTCTCTGTGTGTCTGTCAGCGCTGGTTTCCGTTAGTGTTGGAATATGTTAGCGCTGGACTACGTGCTGCAGCTGCCTGGCTTGTACAGAGGTCAGGACTAGAGGACTTGGGTGTGGACCAGAGGATTGGTTTGCTGTTGTTGACACAGTGAGTACAGTCTGATGACAGACATACTGTATGAGGCTGGGCTCAAACGGTATGAACAGGACTTCTTAGCAAGTTAATCTCTATCTCAGAGATATATCTGGATTATTGATGTGGAGTGCTGTGATGGGAGTATTATTGACATTAATTCATTGTTTTATGAGACCAAACATAACCATTTATTTACTGTGTTGGAAAGAAATGATTCTTAATACAAGTGGATCATTTATAGTATAAGTAACATTAACTTTGACCTTAATCGATGGATTGAAATTAATTACTTGCAATAATGTTTTTGCTGTGTTGTGCATGTTAAATGGATGTTGTGTTAGTAGATATTCTACTCTATATTATAAGGAAGATCACATTGTATTCTAGGGATATAAAAATGATATTTCTCCCCACATATTTTCCAGCGTTGTCTGTGTCCTTTGGGTCTGAGATGAGAGAGCTAGTGTCCACTCTGTTCCTCTTGGGGGCGCTGTATCTCAATGTGAGAGTCCAGACCTCCTTCCTGAAGGAAGGAGCAGGTACAGCATTCATCATCATCATCATGCCTATGAGAGTTTCTGAACTATGGGGCCTTTACAATACACTCTGTAAAACAGTACTAAAATCCCTGTATATGTTTACAAAAAAGTACAAATCAACACATTTGTTAAAATGAAAAAAGCAGCTACTTTGCATCACCTCAACACCAGTTACAGTAGGCTACATTAATGTCTCAACCCTCCTCTCTCTCTCTGTCTCTTCTCTCTCTGCTGTGGTCAGTGGTGTGGGAGGGTGCGCTGCCGTGCGGCCGCTGGGACTGTGAATGTGTGTTTAAGTGCCAGTGTATTCTAGGGATGCTGCTGTGCTGCTCCGTGAGCTGGAGAAGCAGGTGTTCACCAGGATTATTGGTCTGTGGCACGGCCTGTGCCAGCTGGACGACAGTGTCGAGGATGTCACAGGCACCAACAGTATAGAAACATTATATCTGGTACACAGACCAGGGTGGGAAGGGGTGACATTCTCATTCTATGGATGACCTCACTGCTAACAGAGGCCAGGCCAGCTAATAATATATGCCTCAATACACATGACCTTGTCTCTATCTGACTGTCTGTCTCTCTCTCGCTCCCTTTATCTCGCTCTCCCTCTCTCTCCTCCCCCGCTCTCTCTTTCCTTCCCCGATCGCTCTCTCCTCGCCCTCCTCCGATCTCTCCCCAAGGGGAACGCAGGTGGCATTCACAGCCACCATGAGTCCCACAAGCCACTGCTTTGACCCCTTCACCAGTAACGTGCCCATTTCCTACACCGAGATCTCCTTCAACTATGGCAACGGCTACAACCCTGCCCTGGGTACGCATACACAGTAAATGAAACACAATACACAACATACATACACAATACACTCAATAAAGATCCTACCTTGGACAGCCATCCATCCATTTTAACACCTCCATCCCTCTGCTTCCTCTCCCTCCACGTGGGTTCACACCCCCCTTCTCGGCCTACTCCAACGTGGGCAAGGTGGGCCAAAGGCTGTACCACAAGCTGCAGCTGATGAGGAACGGGGAGGTGGTGGTGTCCACATGGGAGGGCAACTAAGAGGACTCGGAGGATAGCGGCTCCCAGTCCTGGTCCCGCTGGACAGAGGCAGCCAGGTGTATGTGGAGCTGCTCTCTGGAAGACAGCTGTGTGGAGACCTCAGCGGACAGAACAAGTTCTCTGGATACCTGCTCTACCCCACAGAGGCCTGAGGTCTGAAACATGAAATATACAAAAAAAAACACAGACACACATACTGGAGGCTGAAACCCATAGACAGACATACTGTACATCCACTGAGAAACACATGAAGAAGATACACTATATATACAAAAGTATGTGGACACTCCTTCAAATTAGCGAATTTGGCTATTTCAGCCACACCAGGTGTATAAAATCGAGCACACAGCCATGCAATCTCCATAAACAAACATTTGCAGTAGAATGGCCTTACTGAAGAGCTAAGTGACTTTCAACGTGGCACCGTCATAGGATGCCACCTTTCCAACAAGTCAGTTCGTCAAATTTCTGCCTTGCTAGAGCTGTCCTGGTCAACTGTAAGTACAGTTATTGTGAAGTGGAAACGTCTAGGAGCAACAATGGGTCAGCCATGAAGTAGTAGGCCACACAAGTTCACAGAACGGGACCGTTGAGTGCTGAAGCGTATAGCGCATAAAAATCGTCTGTCCTTGGTTGCAACACTCACTACCGAGTTCCAAACTGCCTCTGGAAGCAATGTCAGCACAAGAACTGTTCGTCGGGAGCTTCATGAAATGAGTTTCCATGGCCGAGCGGCCGCACAGAAGCCTAAGATCACCATGCGCAATGCCAAGCGTCGGCTGGAGTGGTGTAAAGCTCGCCGCCATTGGACTCTGGAGCAGTTTAATCACGCTTCACCATCTGGCAGTCCAACGGACAAATCTGGGTTTGCCGGATGCCAGGAGAATGCTACCTGCCCCAATGTACCAACTGTAAAGTTTGGTGGAGGAGGAATAATGGCCTGAGGCTGTTTTTCATGGTTCAGGCTTCTTAACTCCAGTGAAGGGAAATCTTAACGCTACAGCATACAGTGACATTCTAGACAATTCTGTGCTTCCAACTTTGTGGCAACAGTTTGGGGAAGGCCCTTTCCTGTTTCAGCATGACAATGCCCCCGTGCACAAAGCGAGGTCCATACAGAAATGGTTTGTCGAGATCGGTGTGGAAGAACTTGACTGGCCTGCACAGAGCCCTGACCTCAACCCCATCGAACACCTTTGGGATGAATTGGAACGCCGACTGCGAGCCAGGCCTAATCGCCCAACATCAGTGCCTGACCTCACTAACGCTCGTGTCTGAATGGAAGCAAGTTCCCTCAGCAATATTCCAACATCTAGTGGAAAGCCTTCCCAGAAGAGTGGAGGCTGTTATAGCAGCAAAGGGGGACCAACTCCATACTAATGCCCATGAAAAAAGCTTTCTATGTATTATTTAGAAAAATACTTATTGAAAATACTTTCTGCTTCTTACTGAAGCAGAATCCAGCTGTTAATTTTGTTTCATTTCACATCACCAAAGCGACTGCTGTGTTGTTAGGCTACAGGGTTGTGGTGATTTATCATGGGTATACCATGTAAAATGTAAATCATTCACTTTAGCAGAGCTTCAGTGCTGCTGGTTGATAAATGTATCGACGTTCATGAATACTGATACTGATGGTTTCGATCAATCTTAATAAATGCTAAATCAGCAGAAAAACGATTCTACCACCAGCACAAGAGAACTGTGTGTGTGTGAAAGGACTGTTTACCATCTTCTCCATGACTCAGGTCTCATACACACGTGGAATTTCCCATCGGTGTGCACTGGGACCATTCACAGGTTAGCTGGCCATGTTCACACACACTGTTTGCTTATCTCTCCTCTACCTGTGCATTTTACCACTTCCCCCATCCCCCTATCCCTCAATCTGTCTGTCTGTCATCCTCTGCCTTATATAGGCTCATTTATATGGCTTCCAGCACAATGCATACAAATGTCCATCAGTAACATACGTTTTGCCAATTCAATAAGCTACATTCACAAATTCACTGTAAATAGATCAAGGCTATACCCTGAGCCGACCCGGAAAAGCTGGAGTGCCGGTAAGGTTCCCGAGTGGCGCAGCGGTCTAAGGCACTGCATCTCAGTGCTTTGAGGTGTCACTACAGACCCCCTGATTCGATTCCAGGCTGTATCACAACCAGCCGTGATTGGGAGTCCCATAGGGCGGCGCACAATTGGCCCAGCGTCGTCCGGGTTTGGCCGGTGTAGGCCGTCATTGTAAATAAGAATTTGTTCTTAACTGACTTGCCTAGTTAAATAAAGATAAAAATAAATAAAAAAGGTTTAAATTCAGCCAGCCACTAAAATATCTAATCTGAATAATTAGGGTCTTCATTGGACCAATTCAGTTTGGATGGGGTAATGACTTCCATTAAACAATTTAGTAGTTTTACTAGCTCAGTAGCCCAAGGCCTGGTGGTTAAAGAGATATCCTTGTTGCCAGGAGTCACAAGGTCAGTCTGGTGCCCTTGAATGGAGAACAATAGACAAAGCACACATGGTACCTCTACACAGAATAGCCTAGAGGCTAATGTGACACTGATACATATTACCTGATAACTTTCCTTGGAATGACCTTTTGGGTCAGACAGTTACTTCATACTAATGCTGACTCTTCTCAGTGATGCAATCTGTGATGTCAATGTTTAACCTCAATGGCCTCTCAAGCTATAGCATGCCCCACTTTGGCTGTCGAGGGTGTGACTGTGCGTGTGTCTCTGTAATGCTGTCATATACCACTGGCATGGGTGTGTTTATATGTGATTGGGGTGTATGTTCTTTAGAACCAGGGAAACATTAAAAAAAGGATAAGGAATTTAACTAAACACCCAACAAAGCAAAGAAAAACAAAACAAATCAGCAGTATTTGCACTTTGACTGGCAGGCTTACATTATGGTTCCTCTCATTTGCTCATGCCCTCACTTACCTATCGTACTGTACTTCTCTCATGGAACAAAAGTGCATTCCATGGCTACAATACATTTTCTTTGACCTTTTATGAAAGACTTCATAAACCACAAATAACAAAAAATTAATATAGAGGCAATAAAGTCAACTTCCCTCTAGCAGTGCCTCCTTCCTTACCCTCTCTAATTACTGAAAGCATCTCCCTCCCCCTGGTCCCCCTAAACCACCGTACTCTCTACTTTATTCCTCATTCATCCCTCCTTCCTCCCTCCTTCTGTTCTCTAGACAAAGTGGTAGATGGAGTTATTTGGAGAATTCCTCAAGTTGACCAAACCAATCCCTTCGGCAGCAGCCCTCTCTCTCCCTGTCCTGCTCCCAAATAAGGAGGTACACTTACAGGGGTGAAAAGAGAGAGAAAATAAAAAAGATGTGTCATAGAATGAAATAAGAGGACTGGAAGCTCATAGAAAAATCTAGAGAAAAAAAGCCCATATCCTTTTAAGGCTGTGGTTTCCTCCTCCCCTTCTTTCCTCTCCCCTCCTCCCCTCTCTCTCTCACTCGCCTTTTCTCTTGAATGTGGTGAAGTCATTTCAGACAAACGTATTTGTTCTTTTTAAGCCGGCACTCCCTGAGAGCAGACTCTGTACTCTGTTGTAAAGGAGAAGAGAGGAACAATTTTACACCAGCTCACAGAAACACAGGCCCGAAGCCACTTGCACGCATCTGTACAACTAAAGCTGCTCCCAACTAAACACTGTAAGTACATACCTGGCTCCTTCTTAACACATTTGTCTCTTATTCATACTGTTACATTTCCTGGTGTATCAGACATTGTCAAAATGGTGTCAAGTACTTTCTCTAGCATGCTTGGTAAGATGCTACTGACAGTGTTCTATAGTTTTGGACTCTATTTTAGGATTACATGGATGAGAGAGAGAGGGCGAAAAGGCTGTAGACATACTCACATGGGGGAAAACCTGTCTTAATCTTTTTTTATATTCAGCCTCTAAACACACACACCCACACGGTCAGTGCCATTTAAGATGAGGATGATTTTTTTTCTCCATTCATATTCCATTCAGCCAGTTCAATGTAACAGTGAAAGGTTTAGGCTACTACATGATACTCACGTTTTCCCTATACCCATCATGAGGTTGCTACAACTTAGCCTATGAATGAACGTTTACAACGTACAGCAGGTGCACACAGGTCGAGAGAAATTTGAGGTGACAGACAGTGACACATGGACAGACAGTGACACATTCAATACCGCCTTGCACACTCTTGCCTGCATCTAGCTGATCTAGGGTGTAACCATTAGTCCAACAGTTGCAAACGAGAGCTTCTATTGGACAAATTCAGGTATGTTTATCCCCGTTTCGTTTGCTTCCGTTTAAGAAACAACAGAATCGGCGGAATGAATACACCTCTGATCACACGTAAACACAGTTCACTTTCATAGCAGCTACACACAGCCTACATCGTAGTCACCATATTAGCTCAAGTAAAATCCTAGTCAACATAGCTAATAGAACTAACGTGTAAGTAAACCCACTACAATCATGCAGTACAGTCAGTAAGCAGTTTAGCAGTTACACCAGCTGGCCCCGGTGGCCATAAATTAGTAAAACCAAAAGCTTACCTTGACTTGGAAGAGTTCCAGTGTTGTGTTGGATAGTCATAGGCAGCTAGCTAACATAGCATCCCACTGTTTGAGCCAGGTGTTTGAGTAGGCTAAACTAGCTAGCTGCATATGCTAGCTAAGCAAGTGAAAGTTTTAAAAAATGACGAAATATAGCTCTCTCTCTCTCGGTTCTCCTTCATTTTTGAAGAATTTAAGTTGTTCAAAACTGTTCAACTATTGTCTTTCTATCTCTTTGAGTCAACTACTCACCACATGTTATGCACTGCAGTGCTAGCTAGCTGTAGCTAATGCTTTCAGTACTAGATTAATTCGCTGATCCTTTGATTGGGTGGACAACATGTCAGTTCATGCTGCAAGAGCTCTGATAGGTTGGAGGATGTCCCCTGGAAGTTGTCATAATTACTGTGTAAGGCTATGGAAGGGGGTGAGAACCATGAGCCTCTTAGGTTTTGTATTGAAGTCAATGTACCCAGAAGAGGACGGAAGCTAGCTGTCCTCCGGCTACACCATGGTGCTACCCTGCAGAGTGCTGTTGAGGCTTCTGTAGACTTTCATTGCAAAACAGTGTGTTTTAA